AGAATGATTAGTGTGCTGTTAATTGCATATATGTTAAATGTAATAGCACATAAGAAATAATGAGATACCTCTGCTTGCTTGTTGTGCTGCAGTACTAGTAGATGTGTGTGGTGTGGTATTAGTGGATGTGTCCGCTTGATCTGCTTCACCCCTCAAGATATCCACACTTAGATCGTCTAGCTGCATGCCTGATAATGGCAAATCTGTCTCATCATCTATGAACAACTCATTATCAGACGCACATCATCATACACCAAAGGGTCCTCGTCATCCTTTAACCCCTGGTTCCATGAGGCGTACGCCTCACAAAAAATTGCGCAATTGCGCCTCTGAGGCGAGCATCAGGTTCCATGAGGCGTAAGCCTCACCAAGTCCCAAATTTGCTTAAGCAATGAGGCTCTTGGGGGTCAAATTGTGCAGAGGCACACCTCTTGTTTGCAATTTTAAACTATGATTCCAAATCATGTTTGAGATAATTTTTTCATGAACTTTTAGCCTCCTTGAAGCATATGTCACTATCTTATCATATTGCATCAATACACATGCAAGTCCCCTCAATGAAGCATCACAAATAAATTGAATTCCTTCTGTGCCTAAATGAATTGTTAATATGGGAACAATCATTAAGCATTTCTTCAATTTTTGAAAAACTTCTTCACACTATTTGTCCCATTCAAATTTTACCGCTTTTTGTGTTAATCTTGATAACGACATTGCAATCTGAGAAAATTCTTCAACAAACCTCCTGTAATAATTAGTAAGACCCATAGAACTCCTTACCTTTGAAACTGTAGTCGACGTTGGCTATTCTGCAATAGCTTTGATTTTATTTTGATCCATTAAAATAACTTCGCCACTAATTACATGCCCAAAAAAATTTACTCTTTTCAACCAGAATTCTCATTTTGAGAATTTAGCATAAAACTTATTCTCATTAAATGTTTGCAACACTGCATGCAGATGATTTGAATGATCAAAATTGTCACTGGTAAGTTCTGTAAGCTCTTAATTGATCATTGTTAGAGCACCACCTAACTATGAAGGATGTAATTATGTCAGTCTATATAGGTAGTTAAAAATTCCATTAATATTGAATTCAGATTAAAATTTCTTTAACAATTTATCTCTTTTCTAATCTTTCATTGAGTACACTTGCTTCTAGTACTTTTTTCATGGCTATACTAGATTTTATCACTGTCTAAAACAACATCAACAATATTAATTAATATTAAAATTTACCTTCGAGAAGTCAAATGTTGTCAAGGCAATGTTGAACACCTTAAATAGTGTCAAAGGTAATGTTGAAAGTCTCTAAATTATTAACTTATATTTCTAATTATGTTGTATGTCATTATCTATAAAATGATTAACTGATAATTAACAAATTGCATTGTTTACCTCAAATACTCTTCCTCCTTAGCGAGTCGAGATGGCAAAGATCAAAACCTATTCTTTCTTCGTTCATGTCGAACACCAATGCATAATTTAATTAACTCAATTTGACTTATAACTCTTTTCCAATAGAATGTTTTACTTGCCTTCACTGCCTCTGACTCTAACAACAAAAAATGTACGCCGATGAAATGTCCCGATGAATGAACTCCTCTTCTTCCTTTTAGTAGAGCGCTTCACGAATAAATCACCTTTCTATCAAACAACAATCCAGGCACAAATATTCTTTTCTGCCACTTAAAACCAAGAACCCGTTGCACAACCTCCTCCATCCATAAATCTCTATATATTTTGCATTCCTTCTTCTAAATTGATTGAAGCCAAAATTTCCCTTATGGGGTCACATTTGCCCGCTCATGATTGCGTCCGTCCCAAGTCATGCTAGTGCTGTTCCCACTCACTCGGTCTATTCCGCCCTATCTTGATCCAACTCAACTTAGCATGCCTGCATGCTCGCGCGCTTCAATTCCTGCACAACCTGCTTACTTGCTTAAATTTGTGCTGGACCGGTTCAGTTGAATCATTCCAGCTAGCTATTACATTCAACAACATGAACATGTACGAGTTGTTCTATGTCAAGTACGACATGATCAATATGATCCTCAACACGGCATAGCTTGAAAATTTCATTTCTATCATGTGCATAAATTATGGTGATAAATCATATCCCATCCATATCTTTATCCTTTGGGATGGATCCAAAGGGGATTTGAAATGAAGATTGATTGCCTATGCTGACTTAGATTTGTCATTACATTGCTGAGATGCCATGCGAGTAGTTCTATTTGACATCAACCAAATCATATTTGGAAACCCATACCGTCATCATATGTGCTGTACAACATCGACAATCTTACTAGTTTCGATTCACCAAACATGAAAGAATCTTCTTGCTGAAGGATTATAACATTCCCATTGTGGTCATGGTAATAATAGGTAAAGGAAGATCATTATTGCTGGGTAGATGTTTCAACCTTGGGCATAGGCGGATCCGGCTGCCCATCCAGAAAAAAAAAAAATTCATTAGAGAGGGCTTTTTCAGAATCCCCCCGTCAGAATGTTTTTGCCCTAAATTTATTAATTGTGTGCCAGTTTTTCCTATCCTACTTTCCGTCGTTCGCTAAATCACACTCGAAGGCTTGAAGCCCTGTCGTCCCGTCATTTGCAACTCGCAAATCAAGCCGCCTTCGCAATTGCAAGAGGTCACTGGCCTTCACCTTTATAAATCACAAAATTTGCCCACCCTAAAAAAATGGTCTGGATCCGCCCGTGAGTCCTTGGGCTCGTTCTTTTGAGCAAAATTAGTGACATGTAGATGCCAAAGCTAGTTGAGAATTTTGCATCACTCTTTAAAGAGATCTGAAGGATGCCCCTAAAATGACCTAACGAGTATGTTATTCAGTAGTATATGTTAAACATGTTGTCCAATCTCCCAATGTATCAGAATTTTATCAGAATTAATCATCATCTCAATTAACCAACATATTGTTGTGATTTCTTCTTCTTCCTTCAGTAAATACCTTTTATTTTGATTGAATTGATCATTACAAAGAACAATAATAGATATATGAACTGAAAATCCTACCCTTTTCTGTTGGTAAATAGGTTCATCCAACGGAATGGGTGATTGTAAAGCCTCATGTATATATGAATTGTAGGCTTTACCCTTTTCTACAAGTCAACCAACCATACATGCCTATATTGGACACCTAATTGTTGCTGCATCCTTTCTAACTTTTTCTGATACAAGGTCTGAATAAAGCATTCAAAGCTGAGTTGATGACTCGCTGATGAATATGCTATTCCACTCGTGCATATATTTTATTATGGTGGATTTTCAAAGATAATTATTTTATTGTTCATTCTTTTTTTGTATTTTTGGTACCTTTTATTTTGCTACTGAATTTCAAAGACTGATTTTTTTCATTTTGTTCAAGGTCTGGGAAGTAAAGGCAGCTGATTTGAGCATTAGTCCTGTTCATCGTGCTGCTTCTGGCATTGTGGATCCAAATAAGGTCTGGAAAGGCTCTTTTTTCCCCTTCCATGCATTAGTAAGTTAAAATGTTGTCAAAATGCCACTATAATTTCTAATTGTGAAATATCATTAGGGTATTTCTCTTCGATTTCCTCGCCTACAACGTGTCCGAGATGACAAAAGCCCAGAACAAGCCACAACATCTGAACAGGTATTTGCTTGTTGTTGACTTTATTTTTGTGCAGCTATTTTCCATAAGGAGATTGCTAAATTTTTCTCTTATAGGTTGCTGAGATGTATCGCGCCCAAAAGATCAATCATATGAACAATAATGAGGAAGAGGATGATGAATGACGTGGTTTTCAGCTAGTAATCAAGTTCTATCACTCCTTCAAAATTGGCATTATAATTTTACTTGGTAAAGTCAAAAATGCATTTTCTGGATTAACTATTAGTTTATCCTACCTTGCGCTAAGCATTTTGCGTATTTAATGTTGATTTGGAACCTTTTATGCTTAGGACCATTTTGTTTGAGATCATCTTTTGCGATGAAATCTCTGTTCAATTAGTATGCTTTATAATTATTAATTAGTATACTATTACTTTGAATTGCAATGTGTTAGGATCACAATATTCAAATGATTAAATTGGCATCCCCCGGCCGGACCTGAGTGGTTGGTGAGTACCACCAGTACCCTTACAATCCTCACTTTGTTGTAGACCTTGAGGTTTCAAGAATCCTGTCAGTCTTTCTCACTTGAGAAATCATATGGCAATATAGAATGGTACAACCATGACTATTTACAAGATTTCTAGGCTACTTTTTCTTGGTATAGAAGAAAGGCGGTGGTACTTTTTTTTTCAAAAATAGAACAACATTTAATTTGGCATCCTAAAGAAAACTAAACTTATGATGAGGGCTTGTTGATTTATCTTTATCCAACAAACTATAAGCTTCCTGCAGCTAATTAATTTTCTTAGACTTTTGTCTGGGGAGAATGTTAGAACCAAAATCCAGTGTTAACAGCTTCAAGTATAATGTGAATATTCAATACTTTCTGTTTGCAATTTATAGAGCGGCGAACACTCGTGGCTCAAAGAAAATAGGAAAATTGCAAACTAGAGGATTTTATGTCAGGTTGAACTTCTGAAACTACTAATATGGTCTGGTTGGCTTTTTTTAGTTGGTAGATGATTCTTAGAGAAATCTATGCACGAGGAAAAAGTACCCGATGGTGTAGGAATCTATGCATGAGGAAACAGTACACGATGATGATAGGAACTCTTTGAGTTAGTGTAGGTTAAACTTTTTTTTTTTGGAATTACTCCTAGGTTGAAGAAGATTTATTAAATGCATACTAATATGGTGGCTCTAATGAATAGGAAAGACTTCTACTTTTTTGGTTTTCTTCAGTAAGTGCTTTAAAAGATGCATGCACTTATCTATTCCAAATTAGAAGGCTATTACAAAACTTGTATAACACTCATCTTCTCACCCAAACCGATTTGGCTTGCACTATGTTGAAAGAACTTTTAGCTTAGTAGAGGCCTACTCAATTTTTGTACTTTCAACCCATTTCAACCTTCTTAGCTAGTAGGAATCCATTTGCTAGAAAAAACTACTCGGCAGTCTTTGTCCATTCAGCTATGTAGAATTCACTTCACCACTTGTAGGCTGAGAGATTTTGATTTTGTACCTTTGTCATATTATTTGTTCTCATGATGAGCATGTAACAATGGAGTTCAAAAAAGCACTTAGTGTTAAAGGATCATGGGACCTACAAGCCAACCAATTTTAGTTAGGATCCATAAGCATGCGGGTTAGGATTTTTAACTATTGGATTGATCCTTTTGTGGCTTTTAGATTGTAATTCATGTGCCTCTTCCTATTCTAACCACTCACATCTTTTTGGTGATTTATTTTCTTTTTGTGTAACCAACTTTGATTTATTTTCATTTTTAGCCTTTGGAGAAGTCGATAAATATCTTTGCATTTACATATAGAATTAAACCATAAAATTCAAGTTAGTTTTTTTTTAATACTATTTTATTTTTCTACATGGTGTTAGAGCAAGGTTAGGATTTTCATTTTCCAACCTTTTTTTTCACTTTCTCCGTTCTTGTTGTGTTACAACCCGGCCGGAACACTTAAAATATCTAGTCGAGAACAGTAGACGGTAATTTAATTTCTTTCAATGACAATTAAAATGATTAAGCAGAATAACATCCAAAAACTTTGGAAAGAGCTATTATCCATTACGAGTTTGTACATATATAATTTAATTCATACCTATTTTCATTTGATCCATTTCTTTTGTATTGACTTTTTTGTTCAGTTATTTTTTTCATGAGGAGCTTTATTTGAAATATTCAATTTAATGAGTTGAGTTTCAACCATCAAACTCATATGTTAATAAATAAATAAATAATATGCTTATGAGTTATCCTGATTAATCAGTAAATATTTCATTTAAGAGAATTAAACATACATACTGGTAAGATGAAATATATTTTTCATCAAATTTTCTTTGATATTGCATTTTGCAATTATAACTTTTAATGTCATTTATTTTAGCACTGTCTAATATTGCACTAATTAAGGTAAAAATATTTTTAATTTTATTTCTTTTTTCAACTTTTTCTATTTATCATGCACGGATACATTGCTTATCCGACCAGTATCATAAGGGTAAGCTCTACATTTACATGTATATAACTTCTCCCTTTAACACATTTCTTTGATTTTCACATCTAATTCTTTTTATTTAAATTTGTACATACATGAACTTCACTGTGATGCTTTCATATTTAATGTGAATAACACTAATAAAGTTATTTGATTCTTCTTTTTAATGTAAAGTAGTATTACAATTATTAACAAGCATACATACAATGTGCCATATTAATAAATGCAAGTTGAAAGACAATTTGTACTTTGGGATGAGCGAATTTCATGATCATGACATAATTTTGGAATACCATAGTGTTTGGGGGCCAATATCTTCCTTTTTACCATAAACGAAATTTGGGATATCATCAATCAAAAGTATTCGAAAGTGAATGACGCTACCTCATTTATGAGATCAAAGCTAAATTTTCAACAACCAAGCAAGACAACCTTCCAATTATTGAGTTTTTTAATACAATGAAGGTTTATTGGCTAGAGTTATAATATTATTAAAATCTTAAGATGACATGCTACGATGATGAGGTAATCTCTCAAGCAATTTGTTGAAAGAAAAATGATGGTTGAATTTCTTGAAGGTTTCAATAATGACTTCGATCAAATTTGTGTCCAAATCTTATGCAGAGAAAACATATCATCATTAAATGGGGTTTTTTTCCCTCTCATACAGAGAAGAATGGTAATGCTTGATGCTTTATTATCCGATGTATTATCCTCTGGTAGGCAATCTAATAAAATAATATCCCCAATTCATAAATTTCTAAATTAGCACCTCAAAAAGACATTTGCACCTCAAAAAGACTTCTAATTCAAGCCTCTAAAGTTTATCACTCGAAATTCAAATGCGATTTGCAGAAGGAAATATCAAAAATCAAATTTTATGTTTAGCCATAGCCTATCATTTCGTACTTGTTCTACTATTCTTCTCCTCTTATTTTCCTTCTTTGTTCCAGGCTTATCCATGACCCTCATTGTTAAATGAAAATAATTAAAAATAAAGCCTTTGGTCATTTTTAGGATGTACAAAAAATTGATATGATTTTTAAGGGAAATTTTTTAGAATTATCTTTTTTGAAAATTTGGTATTACATTTAAAGTACTAAAATATTTGTTCTGATTACAGAGTAAGCCTTTACAATTTTCCTTTTTCATGCAGGAGGTGTGATTTTGAATCTGGACATTAAAAAATGTTCACTACCATGCAAAAATCAACTCTGCAGTGTTGTGATTCTGCAATTTTCAAGGTCAATCTTTCAGTCTACTTTTTTAATTTTATTTTTATTAAATATTTAATGTCACTAATCGAAAATATCTTAAGGGAACATTTTGCTGCTGAGTATATAACAACCTTTGAAGGCTTTGGTGTATTGTTGTTGAAGGCAGCTTATAGAATTTTGGTTTTGTATTAGTTTAAACTAATTTTTGGAAATGGCCTACCTGAGTTTCTTTTTTTAATGTCGTCATTTTACATCTTTGCGATTATTATTTAAAACCTAATGTTATTTCCATCTATTGTACTTTAATTTTATGGTTTATATAAGTTGCTGGCAAGTGGTCTTAAATCATTAACAATAATGGATGATTTGTGCGGTGAAATTGGAGTTATTTTGATGAGTGTAAAGTAAATGCATGTGATTTTTTAGTGTAAAGTAAATGCATGTAATTTTTTTCTTTCGTATAATTTGAAGTAAATGAATGTTGTGCAAAGTGCAAATATGATGGCGGGTGACGATGGCGGTATCCTGATGACTCGCGACAATAGCGGCTGTTGAAGTGGCGACAGTGATGGCAGCCAGCGGGTGTCGACAACTATGAAGTGAGCTTGCTTATAGTGTAGATAATTTTGACTCAAAATTGGATGAGCTTAATTTGCCTCGAAAAATAAATTAAAATTAAAATGATTTATATTATATTTCGTTGCATTTCTTTCTCATTGAAACACCAAGATTTTAAAATTCATGTATTTAGATTATTTTACATCCATAGCTTATGAGTGAAAATAATTGAGATTTTAAATTATGATGATATTTTGGGGGAATTTTAATTGTACGTATGATTGATGAAGTATGAGTACATTGCCCTAAGACGGTTGATCATTATTAGCAGTGTTTTGAATTTGAATATTAGATTTAGAGTAGATGCTAACGAAAGAGTGATAATTCTCCAACAGACAAGTTTATCTAAAATATTTTGAATGATCTACTAAGGCATTGTTTGGGACGGCTTTCTTCCTGCTTCTTAAAGCAGATTTTTAGTACAAATAAAATTTTTGTACTAAAAAGCCGCTTTAAGAAGCAGGAAGAAAGCCGTCCCAAATGAAGCCTAAGTTTATCTCGTATTGCATAATTTTGGATGTTGCATAAACTTGCCCTTAAAGCTCAAAATGTCATTTATAATGGGTCCAGTTGTAAATGAATTGAGTTGATTTGAGGAGTTTATTAAAACTTTTGAGCTAGAATATTTATAATAATGATTAAGTTTGATGTATAAATTAATGTTTGAGTTTGTTTTGTACTCGATTTGTTAGTGATTTAAATTAATTCTATTAAGCTTGATGTATCGAAATAATAAAATTACATATGAAATAAAATTATAGTTGCATTTTATTAAAGGGGCATATTTTCTAACTTTTAAAATTTTATTCATCGTTATGAATAAATGTTATATCAAGCCTTTTGGTTCTGTTTATTTATCAATAGAATTTTATAAAATTATTATTCTTTATTCTATTAGTTTTTATTTTTTGAAATGGAGGCTCTAATCGTTGTCATTCTTGAAAGGGTGCTTGACTATCTGACTAATCTTCAGCTGATCTAGAAGATTTACCCACTTCAAAAATCTTTTGACCCTCACTTAATTGGGTCTCATTTAAGAGGTGTTATCGCTCAAAGGAAATCGAGTATAAATTGAGGATTCAGAACCGTACTTTTCCACCAATCAAGCTATTCATTTTTATTTTATTAGTTAATTTAGTTTATAAAATAATCATGACTGGACTCCATATTGATTCATTTGTAGGCATGATGAGAAATAACTGTTTACTTGTTAGAACTTTGAGACATAATTTTGATTTGATTTAATTTTATATAGACCTTGAATTTGCTCAAATCAAATTTAATTAATATATTTTTTTTATACTTTTTAATTTTTTTAAAAATTTAATTAATATATTTCACAAGCTAATTAAGATATAACGGTGAAAATAAATAAAACACAAATTAAAAGCATGATAAAATACATTGAATATATAGAATACTTATGCATGGAAACGATAGAAGAATATTTCTGCTGGTATTCAGAAAACTCTAAACTATTTACAGACAATGAGGCAGAAACAAAAGGCCGTAGAATCGAGCAAACAATAAAGAGGAATAAATTGTCAAGAATTAAGTGGAAATTATGGCAAAAGAAAAGCATGAAATTAATGTCTACCTGAAGTTACAGAGTTCTTGAGTTATCACTAATCTTCTACCAAATTACCTGCATTAAAAATAATTCCAGAATAATTAAAAAAAAAAGATATATTCATTCAGAAATTTCGGAAGTGCAATTTTCCAAACAGAATGTTCTTACCTTAAAAAAGCACTTGAACTGGTTCCTCAATAATGAAAATCAAAATTGGAAAAAATTTATATCAAGACATTGGGATCACCTCATCACAGTTTCTTTTACAAAAGATCGACCTCCAGAGCTGCCAAAGTGAAATAAGAGTGAGAATGCCGAAAAACTCGAGCTACGTTTAAAAAGGAGAAATTATTGTGTACGCAATCAGAACGTAGAGAACGGTTCGGATGCTGCGTATTTATTGCTTATTTTGCTAAGTATTTTTTGATACAATTTTTTATACGTATTTAGTGAGTATTATTTATTTGCTGCTTATTTAATGTATCAAAAAATAAGCAATAAATACGCAGCAATCTGAACCATTCTATGTTCGGACTGCGTACACAATAATTTCTCTTTAAAAAGAGTGGTGCTTCACACCTATACTCCAGGCGAATGTTTAGGAATCTCGCATTCTCCTTGCTCTGAGATAGAGTGATGGAGCCTTGGATAATTTGGTCTTGTTTCACCTCTATTGGATCATAAAAGTAAATAATGGTCTGCAAAAAATATTTATCACCAATTATATAATATTCAGAAGTTTACGCAATTAAAATGCATAATTTGGCCGTATCTAAACTTTGTTTGGGACGACTTTCTTACTATTTTTTAAAACAGCTTTCTATTAAAAGAATAAAATTTTGAATTAGAAAGTCGCTTCAAGAAGAAGTAAAAAAGCTGTCCCAAATGAAGACTTAGGCTTCGTTTGAGACGGTTTTCTTTCCACTTCTTAAAGCAACTTTTAGTGCAAAAAATAAAAATTTTGTACTAAAAAACTGTTTTTAGAAGCAAGAAGAAAGTTGTCCCAAACGAAGTCTTAGGCTTTGTTTGGGACAACTTTTTTATTTCTTCATAAAACGGCTTTGTAGAACAAAAAATTTTGTAAGAACAAAAAATTTTGTACTAAGAAAATGTTTTAGCAAGCAGGAAAAAGCTGTCCCAAACGAAGCCTTAATTTAATTGAAGAAAGCCACGAAATTTTCTAGATCAATAATTTGAATGGAAATGAAGTCAGAAATCAATTTTGATTTCAAACGCAACAAATCCATCAAATAAAACGATTTTATCTGTACAGATAAAATGAGTAAATAAGAAAACGATAATTTACGAGATATATTTTATGTCTACGAGCAACCAAAGAATTGCGGTATTTGTGCTATTTTTGTTGATTACCTGCTGCCAGTGGGTAGGATCATCCTCTGGAGCAGTTGAAAGAACAATAGCTTCATTGGATTTGAGCCGTTTCTTATTCTTGTTATTGGGATGTAATATAATATCTGAAGACGCTCCAAGCGTATGAATATGCTCATTGGAAGGAACATTTTGGGGGCCATCAAATTCAACATCAAACCAGAAGGCAAAACCATGTAGCGGGGCTATCATAAAAAAAAAAAGTCAGCTATTTTTTAACTTTCAAATAAATCATACTCTCTTAGCCTTTTTATGTAGAAAAAAAGAATATCACATATCTGGGATCAAGTTAATACACTAAATCAACTGAATATTCACAAATGACATTATTTGCATGAAAGACCACACTGCAAGAGACTATATCCTATGGATGCACCGACACTTCTTCTCAAAAAGGCGTGCAGAATCCGACACATTTCCAACACGACATGCGTCTAATATTCCCACAAATGTAAGACATGCTAAAAACTTAACCAATTAAAAAAATATTAAATACAAATTGGACACACGTATCTTAAATATTTTATGATTTTTTTTAAATATAGTTTTTTTGTATTTAAAATTTTTACTTATTTAAAATATAAAAAACTATAGCAAGTTTCTTAGTGAAAAATAAAGCAAGTTGATCTAGAAGATTTAGCAGTAAAGTTGGCATTTATGGGACAGGATGTGGTAGTAAGCTAAGAGGAGTTGCAGGGAAAGAGTGTAGTGGAGTTGTTGGATCTCAACCAGAATCAAGATCATACTAAGAAATTTTCTAATTGTTTCTATATCCCAATTGGTCCATGCAAAAACTTAGGAGAATCTAATAGGTTTTCACTTTGGATTTTATCAAGCACGGGCAGAGGTTATGGTGCCATGATTTTATTAAATACATCTTTTGTTCTTAAAAACTAGCACCTCAATACTTTTCCAATCATTTGGTAGCTTAGGTATCACATATACACCTCAACGTTTATTGTTATGCATCTTCTTTATGCCCAATCAATGTTTTAAAAGGTGTTGCTAAGGCAAGACATGTTATCTATCACGAGGCATGGCAGAAGCCCCATGATTTATATATATTTTAAGTATTTTATAAGAAAAAAGTATATTAAAATTCAAATTTAAGAGAAAATTTAAAATAAATTCCAAAATTCTATGGGTACAAAGGAATAAGCAACATTGCATTGCACAAGATAAAGTTGAGTTGGTGGGCAAAATGTTTCAACATTTTTTGCTTAGTTACCATATTTTACATTTTCTTTTCTTGTTGTCAAAGTGCATCTATTTTAAAAATGTTAACCACCACAAGAAAATGATTTCAAAGAGATTTACTTTACGTGCATCACAGAGAAAAAAAAATTAAATTGTTTTCCTTTGATGCAATAACAATAAATAGGATCTCCATCATATATTATTAACAGTAGCAGCACTTAGTGATATGCTATATATCCATAAACAGTCCATTAAATATAATCCTCGCCATGCGTACCTTGCAACATTGATATAAACTTGTATTTTGCAGTGATTGATTCTAGCTCTTCTGCTAGAACGGCATAGCAATCCACACGCATTACCTGTTTGGTAAAGGCATAGAAATATGTTTACAATGGTCGCATAAACTTTATGAACGATAAATCATGGGCAGCAATTTCGAAAGAATACAAAATCATGCTTCAAATATATCTGAGAAAAATTTTCATTTTAATTATAAAACATAACTTCTTGAGAAAGGTAGTGCAGATGTGTGTGAATTTTAGGAGCAGATTGGAAAGTTTTATGCTTATTTTATTTTCAATGGCATAAGTCATGCACATAAACATAAACCAGATGTTGAAATATAATTTAGATTAATTGGATCATTATACAGTAGAATCATAATCACTTGAGCAAATTTGAGATTGCTCTCGAAAAAAGGCCAAAATGATACTCGGGCTTAGTCCCAGTCTTAATTTTTAATTTAGTACCTCTAGTTGGCTCACTTTTTTGTCCAACCAGAGTTTCACCCTTTATATTTTGTTGTTCGCCATAGTGATCATTGCAACATTAGCGAACCAACTGAGTGATTGGACATCTCAAATAAAGTACACCGCATAGATTTTCTCTTCTATAGTGATAGGCTGTTACAGTAAAGTTGCATTTCTTCAAAACAATCGACTATAAGCCTACATTGATATTCTAAAGAGTGCAATCTAGTTGAAGTCCATACTGCGCATGTTGGCTAAGCTTCAGGTGAAGATAACTTCAGCTTTATCTAGGAACTTTGTGTAGTGCTTTTGCTTCTCTTAGGTAGCACTGACTCTATATGGATGATAAGGATTTAAAATTCCCTCCAAAGAGGCAACCTGAGGAAATCTTTTACAAGGAAATGGCATTAAATGGTGTGGTTTTGTACTGCAAACCGTAATTAATGTGCTAAAAATAGAAGCAATCTAGGGCTCTACTGAAAAAAATAATAGGAATGGGCAATACAAATGTCAGCTTGTCACCACCTCAAAAAAAAAAAAAAAAAAGATTGGAGTGGCAGACCAATAAGTTGATGCATCATTCACCGCATGGCTAACGATAAAAATCCACCACATCCTATCCTTTTTAGGCACGGGAAGGACGAACACGATGCTGGGGTTAGCGCTTTGACACACCAATTCATTAGCAATCAATTTATCCACATGGCGTCGCAGGTCTTCATATTCTTGAAGAGACATCCCATAGGCTGGTATCATCGAACTAGGAATGAAGTTCAATTGCATCAAGTTAAATCTCAGTATCATCTTGCATCAAGTTATATTAAAAATATTATAGCTTATTGCAATGAAATAAGGCTCACTTTGTAAGGGTTAAGTTAGTGTTTTGGGGTAAAGCAAAAAGCTTTTTTTTAAATTACCATCTTAAGTATCATTAGTATTATAGTTTGGTGAAAAATATTGACACTAATATGAATGATTGAATGATACTAATATGAGTGAATGATTGATATAAATATAAATATTAAATTTATATTATTACAATATTATAAACTAATCTTAATAAATTTAAAATTAATTAAAATTATAAATGTATTTATTCATTAAATAAAACAACTAAAACTCATAAAAGCACCCTTTTAGAAACCATATAAATCACAGTTCTAAGAAAATTGCTTTTCAATTTTCATACAACTTAACTTTTTTCATAACAGTTCAATCAAACAACTTAAAATACTTTCGATGTTAAAAAAAAAACATAAACAAGCAGCAGAAGCATTGCCAATCAAACCCACAATAATAATAATATAACTGATACTTGATGGAGCTGTTACTAATAAGAAGTTACCGCAGACGGCCAAGTCATAACATTTTCTCCTGAAATTGTCTCCACACATGGCTCTTCAAACGCACACTGTTTCGCAAGAGACAACATGGCAGTCACTGTAATCATAAGATAGTCATTTGCCCAAATTCCAAAAGTGGAAAATAAAACCAAGCGCTCAATTTAGAGAACAAAGATCAAGAATATATTAAACCACTTTATTCCTTCATTACCAAGCTTCCACATTTCTATTTTAGCTTTTCCTCTAACATTAATTGAAGATTGAAATAAAGTAGATCACTTCTTGAGCAGACAAAAGAATTTTATTTCGTAAGGAAAAATGATTGTGTAATGCTTTCATATTGACCAGCTACATGAGACCATATAAATAAATTAGGGTAACTTACTATCAATCCCATAAACATCACGCCAAAAATCAATGCTTTCCCGGTATCTAACACTATGTGTAACTGGTGCCATATATAGCTGAAAAGGAGAAAGGCAAGAAAGAGAAACACGTTATACCTTGTCATCGTTCCATAAAAAAAAATAATATTTATGCATGAATTATTAAGATGCCATAGAGGATCACTTAATCACATCAGTAAACATTTCAGGAAGGACATTCATCTCATTCTTCAAGATGCACTCTTATCATTAAAGTGCATCGAGTTCCGAATTTGACAACTCAAGGCATACACCAAAAGAAGGGCATATTACAAGTTTTTAAATTTGGTTTCAGTTTCAGTCATATAATGAAAGTTACAATGTCATTAATTTCGATGTTTTTAGTCGGCATTCAATTTTAGTTGAGTTCCAACTTTTTTCAGTATCAATTTTTTATTTTTTTCAATGCTATACTTAAGTAACATTTTCATGAATTTGATACGCCTTAGGTTTCACAAATTAGGGTTTGCCCTAATTTTCCTTCTAGGATGATATTTCTCCACCAAATCAAAGTTAATCCAAAACAAGAAGAATGAGAGGAAGAACAAAAGAGCTTTGCATTAATCTTCAAGAAAAATTACAAGACAAAGCTAGTCCACTTCGAGAAGGACCAAATCTCCCAAAAGAAACCCTAGAGAAAACAAGAAGGAAAAGAGAAAGAGCTTTCTTCACATGATAGCCCCCAAAATAAACCCTAATGGCTCCTTTCATACAATCCCACAAATTTCCCCTCATCCCTAAATTGCCCCCCATCATCCACCCTCCATTTTCCCCCCAAAACCAGCCGCCCCCCTTGATGCCCAAATACTTAAGTGGGTGGGCCCATGGGGCCCACCGTGACTTCTCTCCCTTGCCTCACCCTGTTCGGCTGCCCCCTCCCTTGCCGCCTGTAGACCCGCACGGGTCCAGGATTTACTGCATCAATACCGCCCTCTAGAAGATCAACCTTGTCCTCAAGGTTGAAGTCTGGAAATTGCTCCTGCATGACTTCGTATATCTCTCAAGTAGCCTCATGCGTCGGAAGGTCCTTCCACTCGATGAGTACCTCCCTCTTGCCTTGATCATTCTTCCTCACTTCTTTCACCTGTAGTGGCGCTAATAAGAATTGCATATCTCATGTGAGGCCCTGTGGTATGGTAGGAGTGGTCACGGTGTGCTCCCCTATGCTCTTCTTCAATAATGACACATGGAATACAGGGTGGATGGAGGATTGAGGTGGTAACTTGAGACGGTAAGCCACCATCCCCACTTTCCTTTCGATCTCGAAAGGCCTGTAGTATCGTGGGGAGAGCTTCTCACTTCTTCTGTTAGCTAAAGTCTTCTGTCGGTAAGGCCACAGCTTCAAGTATACCATTTCTCCCACCTCAAATGTCACCTCCTTGCGGTGAGAATCTGCCTTGGTCTTCATGATCTGCTGGGCTCTCAATAGGTGTTCCCTCAACTCTCCCAACACCCTATCCCTCTCCTCCAAGTATTGATCCACTAGATATACAGGGGTCGTCCCCTTCTGATAATTCACCAATGGTGGAGGATCCCTCCCATAAAGAATCCTGAAAGGTGTAAACTGAGATGCGGTATGGTAGCAAGT